GGTAGTCAACGCAAAGACGAAGTGAGCCGTCCTTCTTCTTGACGAAGAGGATTGGCGAGCCTGCTGGGGACGACGAAGGACGAACGAATCCCTTGGCAAGATTCTCGTCGAGATAGTCACGCAGAGCGTGAAGTTCGGGCTCGGACAGTGAGTACAGAGGCCCGAACTTTGGCGACTTGCCCGGCTCCAAGTCAATGGGGCAGTCGTAAGGGCGATGCGGAGGCAAGGAGTCAGCTTCCTGTTTAGAGAAAACAGACAGGAAGTCCTTGTACTCCGCAGGCACTTCGACAGTCGCAGTGCTCGGCTCGTCAGTGGGCAGGACATGGACCTGAAAGATGGTCAGGGGTTGCGTTCCATGCCTGCATGCATCCAGAGACTCGCGCATCGAGCGGTAATCAATGCTGCAGACGCGGAGAGGAGCGTCCGAGCTGAGAGGAGGGGCGTGGACAAGGTCAGAATAATGTTCGACGGTTACTTTATTCTGAACAATGTCCGAAGAACAAACAACAGGAGGAGGTACATCAAGGAGGGAAAGAGAACTGACAGCAGGAGAAGGGGTTTGGGAAGAGCGAAGGGGTTCGGGAGGAACAAGACAAGAAGGGGAAGACGAAGGTGGGAGCGTAGGAGAGGAGCTTAGATCAATCAAAGGAGTGGAATCATCAAGAAGGGGAGTGACATTGGAAGGAATTTTACAAGACGAAAGGGAAGAGGTGCATGGAGAGGGGTCGGAATCAACAGAAGGAGGGAGACAAAGAAGACCGCGAGACCAGACAATCTTGGGCTCGGCGGTGCGCAACCAAGGAAAGCCAAGGATAAGTGGTTGATGTGGAGACCTGATCACATCGAACCGAAGGCGTTGCGAGACGTCCCCGAGAATCACCTCGAGTGGAGCAGTCTCGCGGAGGATGGGGCCAGACGACAGCGGCTTACCATCCACGCCTTCCACTGCCAAGGGCGAAGCCTTGGAGCAGGTGGGGACAGAGTGTCGAGCAACAAAGTCCTCGTCGATAAAGTTGCCAGAGGCACCAGAATCGACAAGTCCTTCGCACGACAGAGAATCACCAGAAGGAAGACGAACAGCGACGGGAACAACCAACGAGCAACGACGAACAGACGAAACACAAGACTTTGGTTCGGTACCAGCTTCGGCACCAGGGTTGCGGCTAGCACAGACAGTTAACTTTGCCGAGGGTTGGCAGGACAGCTCAGGTATTTGCACCTGTGGATGAGGTGCAGTTCCCAGTGACACCAGAGGTGCCACGGGTACTATGCCAGAGCTGAGAGTGTCCGCCGGTCCAGAGGCAAGGCGAAGCTGTCCGCACATCACTGCTTCCCCAGTACTTACCAAAGGCACCTTACCAATGTCTTCACTTTCGGAAGGCGGTGGGCACGGCTCCGGTTCAAGGCCTTCACTTAGAACCGGGCCTGGTCGTTTCCCGAACTGAAGTCTTGCACTTCTCCATCCTCGTAAACGATGGTGCGGATGATCCTCGGGCCGGGAGGTCCAGGGGGCGGTCCGGTAGCTCTGGTAGATCCAAACTTGACGGGGCAGTTTCGTACCAAGTGGCCCTTCTTGCCACAGTACAGGCAGAGTCCAAAGCGGCGGCGGCGTTGTTTCTCCTCGGCGGTCAGGGGTCCAGAGACGGCAGAGTCCACTTGCATGGGCTCGGAAACAATGTAGGAGGGGTGCGGCGGAGCGAGGACGGGCGCGGGAGCGATGGCGGGAACGGCAGCGGAGGCGGAACCAAAGGCGAACTGGGAAGACCGGTAGCGGGCAGGCGTGCTTCGGCGCTCTTGACGGCGCTCGCGGATTCGTGCATCGAGCTCGTTACAAAGCTCGATGTACTCCTCCAGATCTCGTGGCAGAGGGCGAACTCGCGAAAGTTCGTCTCTGACATCATCCGACAAGCCAAGTCGGAAGAACGAGATCTTTGCACCGTCGTTCCAAGTCGTATCGGCGGCAATACGAAGGAACTCGGATGCATAGACTGCGCACGGGCGGTTGCCCTGAGACAGTGTGGTGATCACTGACTCGGCAGTCCTGGCCCGATCAGGGTCGTCAAACACTTTGGAAAAGCGTTCTAGGAAATCGCCAAAAGAGTTGAGTCGGGGATCACCCATCTCAAGCATCGGAGTCGCCCACTGGAGAGCCGGTCCAGTGAGCAGACTAATGACGAATCCGACCTTAATCGGGTCAGCAGGGAACCGGTGGGGCTGCATTCGTATATACAGTTTGCACTGATTTACGAATGCCCGGAACCCTTGCCGGTTACCGTCGTAACGGTCCGGCATCTGCACGCTGTACCCAGCGGCAGGAGCATCGCGAGCTGTCCGGAGCTCGGCGAGCTCGGCCTCCAAGGCACGGAGGCGGTCCACGAGGGCAGGATCCATGGCGGGACTGGGACTGGGACTGGGAAAAAAAAAAAGCGAGGAGGTTCAAGAACAGGAGAGCGAAGAGGGCTCAGACACAAGTGTGCTTGAGGTTCGGACAGGACTAGGAAAGGGGCGGGGCTAGGAGCGGAAGATACCAAGCAGGTGGTATCAGTAGAAGAGAGTTCGAACAAAGTGTGAGGAGTGAACAAGCGCAAGGACGAAGACCAAGTGCTTGGTATGAGCTTTATTAGCTTTTAGCCCCGAACACCAAAGAACAAGTTTTGTTCGAACTGGTGTTCAACATAGGCTCAGACATGCAGGGCTATTTATAGACCGGGAGAAGGTCGAGGGGCAAAAGTGGGCGAGAAGGGTGGAGCATCACAGAGAAGCGAGAAGGGGGTGCGAGAGTGGCTGGTGTGCAAGCGAGAGAGGCTTGGCACAGCCCGGGGACATGTGCCGAGCGGTGGGGGAGGCAGGAAACCAGTAGACGCGGGTGGCAACGGCGCGTGCTCATGCATGGGGGCAAACAAACACGTGGGGACTCATGATTGGTGCGGAGGGCGAGAGCATGCGGGACAATCTCATTGGTCCGTTGTGATGCTGGTCATCACAAGCTACGAGTATTCGCTCGCGTACGAGGGAGCTGATCAGAAGGTGACCGTGGCGGGACTCAATCCACTGACGACCTACACGTTCAAGCTCAAATTCCGGTTTTCCGAGGCAGAAGAGTGGCACAAAACGTCGGTCGAAGGCTCGGCATCGACGACAGGTGCGTCGTGGCCTTCGTTCTCGCGTGTGCTGATGAGTGGTTTCCAGAGCGAGCAAAGGCCAGAGGGCGCTGCCCTTCCGATCTATTCGTGGTCGAGACGATGTCGGGGAGAAGTGGATCGATGATGCTCTCGATTAACACCGTCCACCTATACCGCTGGCGCCTTCCGGCGTATTCGTGTGCTGCTGGCTGCGATCGACCGCCTCTCGCTCGGGCAGACGAGAATCTGGTCACCAAGGTTACGACACAGCTTCTGCGGGCGATTCAAGACAACAACGACTCTGCTGTGAGCCAGATCCTCTTCCAGCATTCCAAAATCATCAATCTCGATTCGCGGGACAAGTACGGCAAGACGCTGCTGATGGTGAGCGTTCCCACCAGAGCGTAAGCCGGCGCGTGGGAAGCGATGCAGACCAGGCCGAGATGGTGCTGGATGTCCCAGCCCGATGGGCCCGGATGCGGGAGGAAAGCGGCGGTTGGCTAATCATGCAGATTCACTTGCGTGCACTCAGGTTGCCTGCCAGAACCCCAACACCGCAGTGGTGACCACCCTGCTCCGATACGGCGCCAGCACGATCTCGACAACGCAGAGCGGCAAAACCGCGCTCTCGCTGGCAGTCACCTACGACAACCTCAAGGCCGTCCAGATGCTGATTGACTATGGCGTCGACGTCAACTCGGTGGACCAGGGCGGCTCGACACCGCTCATGTGGGCCTGCGACAACGCCAATTCCAACAAGCACGGCTTCCAGATCATCGATGCCCTCGTCAAGGCCGGGGCGCGGATCGATGCCGAGGACGGCACGGGCCAGACGGCGTTCGATCGCTTGTGCTTTTCCTCCGGCAACGTCATGGCCGCCCGTTTGCTTCTGCAGAGCGGCGCCAAGCTGATCCAGTACCCTGATCGCAAGCACAGTATGACTTCGCTGATGAGTGCCGCCCTCAACAACCACCGCGAACTCTGCCGGGAGCTCATGTATCAGTGGAACGCGGATCCCTTTGCCACGACCGAGCATGGATACACTGCCAAGAGCTTTGCCGAAAGCAAGGAAAACACAGTGGTGGTGGAGCTGCTGTTCCAGCGCATGAGGCAGCTGGAAGCAGATATGGCCAAGGAGAAGCGCGAGTCGGATCTGTCCTTCATGGCGCCACGAGCCAGTACAAATGCCAAGTCGGGGACGTCGGCTGGGATGGGCGGCTGAGGGTTCCGCCGCTGCACGACGACTCCAAGCGAGGTCGGGGAGCTTTCGAGTGCTCTGCGTGAGATGGCATGAGCTCAGCGATCGGAACAAAGGCAATATATCTCATCCAAAGGAAACAGAGGATACGGCCATCCAGATTGATTTGTTGATTGTGGTGCAGAGCCCACCACCAACTGGCCCGTTTGCTCGCCACCACTGCTTCCTCAGGCCGGCATTGAATGCTGGTGATGATGATGATGATGATGATGATGATGATGATGATGATGATGATGATGATGATGATGATGATGATGATGATGATGATGATGATGATGATGATGATGATGATGATGATGATGATGATGATGATGATGATGATGATGATGATGATGATGATGATGATGATGATGATGATGATGATGATGATGATGATGATGATGATGATGATGATGATGATGATGATGATGATGATGATGATGATGATGATGATGATGATGATGATGATGATGATGATGATGATGATGATGATGATGATGGTGATGATGATGGTGGTGGTATTAATATGATAGTATTAATTACAGCGTATTCGGGGAGGACGGGAGGCATCCACATGTTCTACACAAGGGTGCTATGGGTTGAGAAAGTGTGCCAGAGGAGGGGCACGCTCATCAGCACCACTATGTCCTGCTGTGGTTCCCGCCTCGGTCGTCGAGTAGCTCATCCACTTGTCCCATGTCAAAGTCTTCCGTATCCAGGTCAAGGCGATCGTCGCCACCGTCATTGTCGTCATCGCGGTCGTGTGGGCCTAGTTCATGCTCGAGACTGAGTAGCGCCATTCTATAGCTTTGCTCGTCGTCATCGTCGTCCTGCAGACGGCTGTAGTTGCGGCTGCCAAAGGCCAGGTTGGTCAGGTGGTGGGTGAACTGCCGCCAGCTGCCAGAGCGGGCCGGCGGTAGTTGGAGAGAATCGGGGTCTCGGTGCCCCTGGGATGGACGCAGCAGCGCCATGACCTTGACGTAGTTGTACATTCCGATGCCAAGCAGACTGATGACCAGGCCGATGACATTGACGGCATTGAGCCGGTCGTGAAAGACAACCATGCCGGCAATGATTGTGATGATTTCCTTGAAAACCCCTGCAATCGAGAAGGTCACGACGGACGTGTGCGAGATGAGGTAGAACTCGAACATGACCATCACAAAGGCAAGGACGCCGCCCATGATCAGGATCAGGCTTGTCTGCAGCGCCGTCGCGAACTGGGCATAGAAGGGCGAGGCAAACACCGCCCCGAAGCCCTCGACGATCATGGAGGCTGCCATGAGCGAGATCGCCATGAGCGGCGCCAGCACAACCGAGGCCGCAAACGGGTTGCTCATGCCGATCGATTCCTTTTCCAGTAGGACCTGCGTCAGGGCCCAGCGCAGGCCCGATAGAACAGTCGCCAGCTGGACGAAAAAGTAGCCGAGGGCGTCGAACTTGGTCTCGTGGAGGACGGTGAGGAGAATGCCAACAAAGATGGTCAGGATGATCAGCGTCAGCTTCCAGGTGGGCTTCTCGAGGCCGAACAGAAAGGCGAACAGCAGCACAAACACGGGCGAGGCTGACTTGACCATGGTGTAGAACGTCAGGGTGATGTGCTGGACAGGGGAGGGAGGAGGCAGGTCAGGACGGCGGATCGACATGGTACAGTCAGATACAGCCATTAGCCAAGTCGCATGAGGACGAGATCCCCTGCGTGGGTGAGGACGACTTGGAGAATGCTGCCGGCAGGTCCCATAGCCGAGCGAGCTGGCGGCTCGGGGACGCAGATGCAAATGGCACTCGAGGCGAATATCAACGACGAGACCTTGCCTTCGCCGCGCGGCCAGCAGCTTACCTGCAGACTGCTATTCGACAGCCCGATATCCAGGCCCGTTGCCATGCTGCAGGGCAGCACCCTCAAAACGTAGTCCCGCAGAGATGGGAGCCGGGTCGGCTTCATGGACGGCAGGATGCATGTCACCACCAGCAGCGAGAGCACCGACTGCATCATCATGTGGATCATGGTCGTGAAGAGCGGAAAGTGAAAGCCGTAGTGGTCCTTGGAGAGCAGGAACTTGTTGTATATCGCCAGACAGAGCGAGGTGATGTACCAGCCGAGGATCCTGTGGTGGGTGGCGAGAGCAGACAACAGGACGCACCCGATTCGCAGCGGAGGCGAGCGTCAGAGACGGTGCAGTCTCATAGCGTGACGAGACGGCCACAATAGCGGCTACAGACGAGGATCGAGGAGCCAGAGGGCTCGCTCTGGGACAAAAGCAAGAGCACGAGCAGAGCAAAGCAAGAGCAGAACGACACAATAGCCGCCAGGCGACGATCGAGGTCGACAGGGCAGCTTCCTGGCAGCCGAGCAACCCCCGGCAGTCCACGGCATCGGGTCCAGAGAAAGCGCCTTACAGTATCGCAGCAATGGCAGTCGAGCGGTAGAACTCATAGGGAGACATGGGTTGCTTGGTTCGGGGCGATGGGCGAGACGAATCAGTGGCCGAGGGCGAATGCAGCACCGAGGCATCGTTGATGCGAGACATCAGATCATGGTCACCGGCCATTTCTTCTCGGGATTCCCAAAGACGATGATGAGATGAAG